AATTGGGCATGAGAACAGCGATTCCAAAGCAGCAACTCTCCAATTCTCAAAGAACTGTTTCCCAAAAAATGTAAAAAACGACCTCTTCCAATCCTGTTTTCCCCAAATCTTGAACCTATCTTGAAACTATCAGAAATTTTAAAGGCCAATGATTAACAGAATAATTCACTTTCAAAAAATTAAGCTGACTTTACCATATAAACCAAGAGGCAAGTCAGTGCTGAAATTTGACTGCCACTGTGATTGGTGGTGCTGGGAGATGTGGCTTTTAAAATGTGATTAGGTCTTTGCCTTTTATTGCCTTCACTCTCTCTGGCCTGGGTTAGTTACCTCAAGGGTGGGCTGCTGGCAAGGCAGCCTCCTGGTTTTCCTCAGCGCACACACTGGCTTCCTGCTTTCTACCAAGAGGCAGCATGAGCACCTCACTGTCATGCTCTTGGACCTCCCGGACTCCAGAATCAACAGATTTGGCCAATCTGTTCTTTAAAAATTACTCAGCAGGGTTCAATCCCCAGCAAGGGATTGGGGGGGTGGAATTATGAGGTCTCAAGTATTTTGTTAAAGCAGCAGCAAACACACTACCTGTCTCTACCCTGTGGATGTAGGCATTTCAATTAACAAAGAGCTCATGGATCAACATCAACTTCTAGCAAATGTGGGTGTGTGGGGCGGGGAGTAGAGGCTCTAGACTTCTACCCACGCATGTCAACAGGTGCCTGCCTGTCAGAAGACCAAGCAGAGAGCTGGTTCATCCTTCCATTCCCAGTAACTGATATCAAGACCCCCTCATGACTGTGGTATCAGTAGAAACCAAAGTGAAGCCCAAGCCCCAAGCCCCACTCAGAACTAAGTGAGGAATCTCTCTACCTCCAGGGGGCAGTGAAGGTTAGAGAAGAAAGCTCAGCTGTCACCAAAGGTTCACTTCCACCGGCAGTATGTCTCTTGCCCTTCCTAAGCAATGTCAGAGGAAAAAACACAAAAACACAAAAAGTTTCAATAAGATATATAAAACACATTTCAAAAATGTCCAGGTTTCCACAGAAATCACTCAACATGCCTAGAACCAAAGACGATCAACAGATACCAATGTGAAAACCACATACTATCATCTCACAAAGACTTCAAAGCAGCCATGATACATACATCAACAAGCAATTACGAGCATGCTCGAAACAGTAATAACAGACACATCAGCAGAGAAATACAAAGTCTTAGCAAAGAAACAGAACCATGTAGAAATTTTAAAATTGAAAAATACAATAACCAAAATAAAAATCTCATTGGATGGGCTCAATAACAGTACGAGGGCGGTGGGTGGGGTTTACAAAGAATAGAATCAGAAATAGAGAAAATAGAACAACAGAAATCACCCAATCTGAACAACACAGAAAAGAGAGCCTGGGGAAAAAACATGAGTAGAGTCTTAAGAACCTGAGGGACCACAAGGAAAGGTCTATTTATTATGTCAAAGTCCCCAAAAGAACAAAGGCAGAGTAGAAAAGGTACTTAAACCAATGCCTAAAAATTCCCAAATTTGGCAAGAGACACAAAT